ATTTTTGAGTATTTTTGGGGGGATTTTCGGCATTTTTGAATATTTTTGGGCAGATTTTTGGCATTTTTAAGTATTTTTTGGGGGGATTTTTGGCATTTTTGAGTATTTTTTGGGGGGATTTTTGGCATTTTTGAGTATTTTTGGGGGGATTTTTGGCATTTTTGAGTATTTTTGGGGGGATTTTCGGCATTTTTGAATATTTTTGGGCAGATTTTTGGCATTTTTAAGTATTTTTTGGGGGGATTTTTGGCATTTTTGAGTATTTTTTGGGGGGATTTTTGGCATTTCTGAGTATTTTCAGGGGGGATTTTTTGCATTTTTGGGGTCTTTCCCCCCCAGCCCAATTTGGGGAGGGGGTCTCACCTCTCTTCTTCTTCTTCTCCTGGGGGGTGGGCGTGGCTTTGCCCTCCTCTTCCTCCTCCTTCTCCTCCCCCTTCTCCTCCTCGCTCTCCTCGCTGCTCTCGCTCGCTTCGTCGATGCCTTGTTGCAATTTGGGGAGGGGTCTTCAGCCTCTGCGACCCCCCCCCAGATCCCCCCCAGCCCGGGGGGGTCTCAGCCCCCTCCCCCAGCCCACCTTTGGGGCCTTCCTCCTCCTCCTTGGCAGCTTTGGCTTTGCCGGGCTCTTCCTCGCCGGAGCTGCTCAGCCCCACCTGGAGCCGTCGGACATGTAATCCACCTCCTGGCCCTCGAAGTCGCCGTCGTCGCTGTCCTCGAGAGCCTCGTCCTCGGAGCCCTTGGCGCCCTTCCTCCTCCTCCTCCTCCTCCTCCTCCTGCTGCCCCCGGGCCCCGCCCCCGCCGCCTTCGGCCTCGCCGCCTTCTCCCCTGACGGAGATTTTTCATTCTTTTGGCATTTTTGGGGATTTTTTGGGCATTTTTGGGGCATTTCTGGGATTATTCTTGGATTTTAGGGGGATTTTTTTGGGGGATTTATGGGATTTTTTGGATTATTTTTGGATTTTTTGGGGATTTTTGGGATTTTTTTGGGACTTCTTTTGAATTTTGGGGCATTTTTGGGATTATTGGGGATTTTTGGGATTTTTTTGGGGATTTTTTGGGATTTTTGGGGTATTTTTGGGATTTTTTGGGGATTTTTGGGATTTTTTTGGGACTTCTTTTGAATTTTGGGGCATTTTTGGGATTATTCTTGGATTTTAGGGGGATTTTTTTGGGGGATTTTTGGGATTTTTTGGTTTTTGGGATTTTTTGGGGATTTTGGAGCATTTCTGGGATTTTTTTTGGATTTTTTGGGATTTTTCTGGGATTTTTTGGGGATTTTTGGGATTTTTTTGGGTATTTTCGGGATGTTTTGGGGATTTTTTGGGGACTTTTTTTGGGAATTTTTTTATTTTTGGATTTTTTTGGATTTTTTGGGAGATTTTTTGGGGATTTTTGGGATTATTTTTGGATTTTTTGGGGATTTTTGGGATTTTTTGGGGATTTTGGAGCATTTCTGGGATTTTTTTTGGATTTTTTGGGATTTTTCTGGGATTTTTTGGGGATTTTTGGGATTTTTTTGGGTATTTTCGGGATGTTTTGGGGATTTTTTGGGGACTTTTTTTGGGAATTTTTTTATTTTTGGATTTTTTTGGATTTTTTGGGAGATTTTTTGGGGATTTTTGGGATTATTTTTGGATTTTTTGGGGATTTTTGGGATTTTTTGGGGATTTTGGAGCATTTCTGGGATTTTTTTTGGATTTTTTGGGATTTTTCTGGGATTTTTTGGGGATTTTTGGGATTTTTT